CTCTGGGGGCCAGCAGAGCCTGCCGGTACCATGCGGATGATCTCCTGGCAGGAGCAATTCTGGGGCCAGTTCCCGGATCCCACTTAGTCAGTTAACCGGCTACACGTCAGGTTAACCTAACGTCTAACCAGCTAACTGGTTAGCTGGGATTTTACATCCCTAGACTCGACCCCCACGAGTCTGGCTCCGGCGCTGGGGAGGGCTCCGATGCCGTCCTCTCTAACTCTCCTGTGTGCTGTAGTGCTGTGGTCTCCAGCCCCCGCGTTGGTTTTCATTAACGCCGGGAACAAGCTAACAGGGGTCCCATTGACCCAAGTGTCCACCTGCTCCTGCTCCTTACATCCCACTCCGAGGCTGTCCCGGGCTACTTGCGTGCTCCTAACTGTGCTGCGAGGCAGCTGTGCCGGGCCCGGGCCCGGTGGCTCTAGGTAGCATAGCGCCTGTCTCTGTGCAAACATCCCTGTCTAACAAACGATGGCCCGGCACTGCAGGGGTCACCCCCATGGCCTGGTAGCCCCAGATTAGTGTAGCTGCTTGTCTGCCCCCCGTCGCGTCACGAGCGGTCGCTACGGCCACAGAGTTAGGCCCAGAGGCAGAACAAAGCCAGGGAGAAATATAAGTAGGAGTAGAATTGGTGGTAAATTGAGATTTTATTTTTCAGGGGGCATCGACATAGGTCTTGGGAAAGGAGATTGGCTGGGACAGAGACAAGCTACAAAGGCCTTGATTTTCCCCTCACATTTGGGATTACCCCCGATTTACACAGGGGTGAGAGCAGAGCTGGGTGCTTCACGACAAGGACTCGGGGTGGGGCTGTCCGCAAGGGGGCCTGATTTCCCTCCAGGTCTACTGTAACATACCAATAAATAAGACTAAAGGGTGGGGGGGAGGAAAGGCCTGTGTGTTGCCGTTACCGTAACACTAATTTCCTGAATCTCAGTTTTGCTCTTGGCACCGCCAGGGGAAAGCCAGAGAACTCCAGAAAATACGGAGAATCCAGTGCTTTGATTGAACTGGAAATAAATGGTCCCCAATACAGTCTGTGTGCAGCATGGGATGGGCAGGCACGGTGAAAACTTGCCAGCCCCCTGTGCCACAAGACTGCCCAGAATGTAAGCTTTTGGGGCCAGGGACCGAGCTTTTATTATCAGGCACCCAGCGCATGGTATGTTTGAGGGTCTTTTGGCAGGACTACACTAGAAATGCAGGGGTGCCAGCCCCAGGCATTCAATACCCATGTGTCAGGTCCTCATCATTAGATTTAAAAAAAAAGGATCTTCTTATTTGCCTGCTGCTATCTGAGCCGTGTGTGTGTGTGTGTGTGTGTGTGTGTGTGTGTGTGAGAGAGAGAAACTTTCATAATTTCTACAACCATGAAGGCTAAAAATGTGGTTTTGCCCACAAAAGCTCATGATATTATATATATATATTTATTAGCTTCTAAGGTGCCTTAGGACTCCTCGTTTATTCATTCATCCGTTTGTTTTTCATTCGTTTTTTAAAAAGAAAGCTGAGGTTCACATGCAATCTCCTGACACCGGGAACTGGAATTTTTTTTTAAAACATCAGCTATTGTGAGACCGGAACAAGTAATTTCCCCTCCCAGGAGAAATTAGGTTATCGGCTGTTAGAAAAAAGATGGTGGTTGGCTGTTCTCTGCATCCAGTGAAAATACAATAAGCTGTTCCCAACTTCACCTGCAGCAAGGGAGAGTTAGGTTAGAAAAGAGAAGAAGCTTTCTAACTCTCAGGGGAGTTATCTCTGGAACAGTTTCCAAGGGGGGTGTGGGTCCCCATCATTAAGACCAGGCTGGACAAACCCGTCAGAGCTGCTCTACACCAGAGTCCTCAACCTATTTACCATTGTGGGCTGCATATGCAGCTGTCTGTGTTATGTGGGATGTATCCACACTCTATCTACAAAACTTGTATGGCCCTGGGGCAGTCACATGGGCAGCAGCTGTATGCTGCTTGGGCTGCAAGTGGGCAGTGGGTAGAGAATCACTCGCCTAGATTTACTTGTCCCTTCCTCAGCGCAGGGGCTGGACTTGATGATCTCGCGAGGCCCCTTCCAGCCCAATGTGTCTATGACTCTGTGAAAATCACGAGAGCTGGCAACCCTGCAAATAATCATCATAGAAGAACAAACAGCCTGTCAGTGAAATGAGCGGCTGGTACATTTCCACCACTACAGGAAAAAGGCCTAGAATTTTTACAGTGAACATAAACAGCTGGTGCAGCCAACAAACACCCAGTCTTCACTCAAACCCTGCCTTTACTTTCAACCCCAATGCACAGCCTGCCCCAGATACTCCAGCACTGAAGGACATGCCCACCAGCACCCCAGATGGCCAGCTGTCACTGCATGGTGTTTTAGAGACCCGAATAAAAGTAGCAGGGTCCTTTCTGAGGCCACATCTTCACTTGCCACGCCAGAGATCAATCTTCTGGCGTTTGATTTAGCGGGTCTAGATAAGACCCGCTAAATCAAACACTGAGGGCAGCTCCAGTCAGTGCTGGTATGCATTGCAAGGAGTAAGGGAAGCCGATGGGAGCATTTGCTCCCATTGGCCTCCTTTTATGAAGACAGCGCCAAGCTCCACTTAACTTATGCCTACTCGGACTGCATATTTTATGTAGCAGTGTTCCTTGTATGTAAGTTGTGTTCCTTAATCCAACCTTTCAGGTCTACTGTAGACCTGGCCTCAGATGCACCAAGTGTCTCTGTTAGCCTAGTCCCACATCCTGAAAAGGCATTTGTTATGTTCACAGCATAGAGAAAATCATAACTCCTCTGGCTGGAGGTTGTGCCCTAGCACTGCTTTGTTAATTAGAATTCACACTCAGAACACAAGAGACAGAGAGAGAGAGAGCAGGCTGCGCAATAGGAAAACACCCCGAGTATTTAAAGGAACAGCATACCATTTTCATACAATGTTCAATACCCCACAGTGTTTGGGTTCCTAACTCCAGATGCTATCATTAAGGATATGTCTTAGGGTTCATTTACATCTTGCTGGGCGCTGCCATTTTTAAAGCCCCAGTAGTTCGGACTCCGTGCCCGCGGCTACACACGGCACGGAGTAGGTAGTTCGAATTAGGCTTTCTAATGGCGTTCGAATTAGAAATCCTAATTCGAACTACCTACTCCGTGCCGCGTGTAGCTGCGGGCATGGAGTCCGAACTACCGGGGCTTTAAAAATGGCGGTGCCCGGCAAGATGCAAATGAAGCCCGGGATATTTAAATCCCGGGCTTCATTTGCAACTTCGAATGCCTACATTAACCACCCTAGTTCGAACTAGGGGGCTAGTGTAGACATACCCTAAGATATTGGATGGAAGGTCCAATCCTTACTGTGACTCCACAGTTCAACAAACAGCAGGCTAGTTGTGGGTGGATCCCTCTTTCCTTGTGCAATTTGTTGTTTCTGTCCTCTTCCTCTCCCCTCCTCCCCCGCATTCACCGTCCCACCCTTCTTCCATCCAGGTTTGGTTCCAGAACCGACGTGCTAAGTTCCGCAAGCAAGAACGGGCCGCAAACGCCAAGGGGGTGAATGGCGGCTCCACGGCCAACAAGAAATCTGACCCGCGCTCCTCTTCGGAAGATGACGAGTCCAAGGAGTCCAACTGCAGCCCCACCCCGGACAGCACCGCTTCGCTGCCCACCACGGGCAGCCTCAACAGCCCCGGGAGCAGCCTGAGCCCCAGCCCCGGCACGGGGCAGGGCCTCGGACCCAGCCACGCCACCCAGTCCTTAAAGGCTCCCATCTGGCCAGGGGTCAGCACCAGCAACGGTGCCACCAACACGGCGGAGCTCCTGAAGGCGTGGCAGCCAGCTGAGGCCATGCCAGGACCTTTCTCCGGCGTCCTCTCCTCCTTCCACAGGAAGCCCAACGCCCTCAAGACAAACCTGTTCTAATGACCGGGAATTGACCGGCGCCAAACAAACATTGCCAACTCCTTTGTGTGCCATCGTGTGCGACGTCAAATATCTTCCCCCCGCCGCCCCCTTCCCTAGCTATTAGTCTCCCAGGCTCCTCTGGCTGTCCGCAGACCTGGGTAGGACCCCTCTCCGCCAGGCCTCTGGGAAGCTCAGATTCTCCCAGGCAGGAGGGAAGTTCCGAAACAGACACCTGGCTGAGACCT